CTTTTTACTGTACTTAAGTACATTTTTTAGATTGTACTTAAATTTGTACTTAAATTTGTACTTAAGTACTTTTTTAAAAGTACTTTAACAGCTCTGCATAGCAGCGCAGCTAGTCATAGGTCATCGCATTGCAACGTCTCACAATAAAGAACTGGTGAGAAAGAACAGGCACATATTGAGTAAGGTTATATAGTGTATTTTGTCCTGTGAAACTCACGAACTCGCCCTTCGCGGTCATGAAAAGGGTGATTTGTCGGGGAACTGAGGTATTTTTCGCTAATGCTATGCAGGCTCTTCGACATTTTTTGCCCACTCTACAAAATGCATCTGCGTTTGTCACCAGAATATTCCATGGCCGTCTGAAACAAGGTGGAATTTACAGTCTCGACTAATTAGCACAGTTTTCATTTGGAAAGGAGAGATCCAGCTTTGTCTTGAAGAAATTCAGTCTGAACACTGGGACGATAATTCCATTCACGATGGTATCCTGAATGTATTAAAGAGCGAAACATTTCTCTTCTTTTTGCACTTTTCCAACAAAGTATACACGCGCGTTGACGCTGTTTATGGATCCTCTTCTAACACAGAAGTACAACGCCCATAGCAGCCTAACAAGTTCTAGACACGTTTAAAGTAGCTGTCGATGAAATGAGAAACAGTATACTTGTTCCATCAACAAGACAGACAACAGCGAAACATCAGTTCAGAAGGCTCGATCAGTACAGAACAAAGAACAAAATGGGACAATAATCACAATACGACTTATTATATTATGTAATATGTAATATTGTTGTCATGGTTACCTGGTAGACTTCAAATACTGTCACAGGCGTTTTCCTTTTTTATTGGGAGGGGGGTCTTTTTAAAGGGGGGGGGTGCTTTTTTAACGTAGACTTTTACGCCCCCATCAACACTATTAAGATCATTTATGTCGAAAGGCTTCGGCCAAACCTTGGCTGAGGGATACAACAATACTGCAGAAAGACCGAGATACTTGATAGATCCTTCTCTCCCCCCCCCCCCCCCCAATTCGGGAATTGAACTCGGGTCTCCTGCGTGCAACGGTGAGGCATCTAACCGCAAAAATCACAGACTCGGGTGTTTCCTGCTTGATGTAAATAAATTTGAATGGTTGTTGTCTGGGAAGGATAAACGCCAAGGACCTGAGAATAAACAATCTACATTATTTATAACCTCCTTGACGGGGCTCTCGTGGCCCAGAGGTTGAGGTGTTTGGCCTCTCATTCAAAGGTCCCGGGTTCGAATCCGGGTAGCAACCGAAACATTTTCTTCTCTAAAATTGTCTCCTTTCACCTCCTTTCCTGCTCTCTAGCAATGTTCTGTCGTCTGCTTTTGTCTCCTCTTTCTGCCCCCTCCCCATCACCTCCTTTGCCCCCTCCACTGGGCTCCTGACTCTTTCTGCAGCCTTAATTTCTTCTGCTACTCTTGGGCTCCATCTTACTGCTGTCTATAAGCCACACCCCTAATCTTTTGGTAAGAAAGATCTACTCCTTGCCTTCTCGGACAAGGGCTAAAAATCTCATAGGGCCCGTGTACAAGTTGCGCTCGTAAAAGATCTCTTGGTAGTCTAAAATCGAAAAGAGTAGGTTTCGGCCACCACTCGGGCAAAATTCAAAATGTCCTCCCAACTGAAAGAGTTTAACGTTTCCCGCACGCTCATATGACCTCATGCAGTTGCCAGCGTCGTAAAACACCTATTTAAAAAAATAATAAAAAGTAACCTTAGTGGTAAAGATATATCTAAGCAATGTTTAATGTCCAAGTTTAACCACACGGAGATCAATGCATATTCCGCTGGTATGCATTGACACAATAATATGATACCGTCGAACCTGCTCTATAGGTCACTTGTGTAAAAAAAAAAAAATTTTAATAAATAAATAAATAAAAAACATCCAAAAAAAACCAATCACCTGTACAAACAGCCACCATCCCACCCTCCACTCCCGGGTTAAAAAATAACAACAAAGTTTCAATGACACTGTGTAGACGTCCTATTTAAGACAACCTTTTTCTCTTAGACTATGGAAGGTCTTCTTAGGCAATTTCGACTATATAACTATTTTACACCAGCATACGTGGATGGTTGGAAGGCGCCACTGGTAGGTCCTACTTTTGTACTTTCCCTCTTTCCCTCTTTTGTCTTTGTCTTACTTTTTCACCAGCACAAAATAACCGTTGTTATGTAGATTGTGCTTCTCTTTACAAAAGCAAATACCAAGATTTTTTTTCCTTGGGGATGGGGGGGGGGGGGGGGGGGACGGAAAAAAAAAAAGTAGAAAAAAGGGGGCCCCCGGGTTTTTTTTTTATCTGGGACTTTAAGGAAAGGGGAAAAAAACCCCCCCCCCCCTTTTCCGGAAAAAAAAAAGCCGCGGGGCCCCCCCCCCCACATAAGTAAAAACCAAAAAAGGGGGAGGGGGGGGAGGAAAAAACAAAAAGGAGGAAAAATATTTTCCCCCCCCCCCCCCAAGGGAAGGGGGGGGGGGGGGGGCCCCCCCAAATAATAAAGGGAAAAATTAAGGGAGAAAAAAGCGGGGAGAAAAAGGGGGTTGGCGGGAGCAAAAAATTTTAAAGAAGAAAAAAAGCCCGTGGCGGCGGGAAAAAATTTTTTTTTTTAAATTTTTTTTTTTGCGCCCCCCCAAAACACGTTTTTTTTAAATGCCGGGGAGAGATAATATTATAGGGGGGGGGGTCCCCAGACAGCCCCCCACAATAAAAAAAAAAAGAGGGGGGGGGGGGACGCCCCAAAAAAAA